GGTGTTAAGCAGGATTTTGGGTTTAAAGAGAAGAGCAGCTGTTTTTACTTATGCTGTAGCAAAGCAACATCTTTTTTAATTCCAGTGCTTACTTTTTGCAGCAAAAGAAAAATCTTGAGCATTTTCCACTGACAACAAACGGGAAAGAGCATTTTAGGAATCCACAATAACCTTTTTCTCGTTGACATTCAGCCTTATTTCCTGGAGCAAAGGAGAATCCTGCATTTGAAAAGGAGAAACAATAGGATCTGTCTACTCCATAGGAGCTGATACTCCCCTTGCATGTTAGCCTACCACACGGACTCTGCATCATACCCACAGTCTTTACATCTTCAGAAGAACGTAAGAGCATTTTAGGAATCCACAATAACCTTTTTCTCGTTGACATTCAGCCTTATTTCCTGGAGCAAAGGAGAATCCTGCATTTGAAAAGGAGAAACAATAGGATCTGTCTACTCCATAGGAGCTGATACTCCCCTTGCATGTTAGCCTACCACACGGACTCTGCATCATACCCACAGTCTTTACATCTTCAGAAGAACGTTTACATGACTGTGTGCATGCACAGGAACAGAGAGTGGGAAAGAGCAGCGGGAGGCCAAGGAAGAGCCATGCTGGCTCCGCAGTATCCCAGCTGCGTGGCCACCGCTGCCGAGAGCAGCAGAGCGGGGAAGCAGGGGACTGCCCGCACCCCACATGCCCTCCTGGCTGCGCCCGGCCTTTGAGTGGCCTCTGATGGAAAGCCCTTGCCCAGCCCTCGTGTGCATGCACAGGAACAGAGAGTGGGAAAGAGCAGCGGGAGGCCAAGGAAGAGCCATGCTGGCTCCGCAGTATCCCAGCTGCGTGGCCACCGCTGCCGAGAGCAGCAGAGCGGGGAAGCAGGGGACTGCCCGCACCCCACATGCCCTCCTGGCTGCGCCCGGCCTTTGAGTGGCCTCTGATGGAAAGCCCTTGCCCAGCCCTCGCCAGGCCTCATGGCTCGGGTCAGTGGCACTTTGCAACACTCAGAGACCACTTAGAGGCCACACTCAGCTTGGAGGCCACTGGACTGCTTTGTTCCCCAGGCCAGGGGTCCTCAAATGGCATTACACTTATGATCTGACATGCAATTCCTTCCAAAGGTGCCCACAATTTGGATAACTTGAATTGGCTGTATGGGCTGAGTCCTCCATGACTGCAACATGACCTCCTCTGCAGCAGTTCCCCAAGAAGCCACTAAATGCAGGTCCCTGAAGCTGAATCCCACTTCATCTACCCGAAGCAGACAGACTTTGTTCCTGGGTGGCTGTCTCCACAGTCACACCCACTGCCCGTGCTCAAGGAGTGAAGGGCACCCTCAGAAGATCTTTTGATCTATTCCATTGCATGACTTTTCACACAAGAACACTAAGTCAATCAGAAAACCATTCCCTCCAAACTGTTCAGAATCTCTGATGGATATGATAAATTTGCAGACATGGAAGACACCACTGAGGGGGTTCACATCTCACCCTTTCACCTCTCTCAGCGTCTCACCTGCACTGCCCTGGAGCAACAGGAGGAAGAAGGGGAAGAGGAGGTACAGGATCCGCATGGCTAACAGCTGGCTCTGCGCTCCGCGTGGCTGCAAAGGAGAAATAGCAAGGCAATGCATAGATGAAGGACTCCATGAAGAGACAGTAATGATTACAAGCATTACAACTTAATGAATATCCTGGGAACAGTCATTTGGACAATATACATGTTTTCTTCATTATCTTTCTCACAAATCTTTCTTATCGTTGCTCCAAAACACAGACTGGGGAACACTTGCCTGTTTGTGACAATTTTAGTCCAAGCAACATCCAAAGAAATTTAAAAAATGCAGGCAGAAACTTACCTTTGGAAACTGTACTCCCTCAGGCCTTACGTATGATGTGTTGTCTCCAGATAGATGGGGTCAAGGGGTGAAATAAGAAACATGTTCCAATGTACTTAGCTGATCAGACCTATTCCTAGAGCATTTGCTCTCTCCCTCCTGCCTCTCCTTCCCCACAGGCCAAAGCAGAGAAGGATTGCACAGCAGGAGGTCCTTATGCAAACAGGAAAGGCAGTTTTCAGAATAGAACGAGGGACAAGAAATGGGTGAAGTTCTTCCATTAAAGGCCCGACCGCCTCAGGAGCGCCCATCCTCAAGCCCAGGGCACTCCCAGGCTTCCTAGCAAGGACCCTCACAGCCTGACAGTCCGCACCACGGCTCAGGGTGGCACCGCCCCAGGCAAGGGCAGGAGGGCCGAGAAGGCTCTCAGCCGCCACCACTGAGGTCGCCACTACACCACCTTTGGCAGCTGGCTGAGGCCTGGGAGCATGCAAGACCTCTGTGCTGCTGCATGAGAAGCGTCTCCCCTCTTTGCCCACAAGCGTCCCCATCTTGCCAGAACACAAGCCCTCAGGTCCCTCCACAAGCATGAAGGCATCTTTCCAGTCTCTCCTCTCCCTAGGACGCCCCAGATCCACCTTCAGCTCTTTCTAGGCCCTAATCATCAGCAGCTCGTATGTCAGATTGGCTCGCTTTTCTCCAAGACCCAGCTGGCCTCTCCATAGACGCTGATGCTCCCGCCCACCTGTCGTTTAGATGCTTCCAGGCAGGCGGCACTTGGCCACGCGGAGGCCAAACGGGTGGCTGACCCGGAAGACACTCCGTGGCTACCTACCGGGATGAGGGGTGGTCTTGGTGTTCAGGCAGTGACAGTCGCTCCAGGAATCACTTGTGTCTGGAGGCCCTTCAGGTCAGGGAAGCATTGTGTTGCCCACAGCGCCCCGGTTTCTTATACTCTCCCAGACAGGGGGGTGGGACGCGTGCTTTTTCCTGGGGCCACATCTTCCCCTGGCCAATGAGAAAGTGACCCATGTGCACGGGGCTGGCGGGCTGGTCCCTTATGGCGCCCTCCTGCAGTGGGAGAGGGGGAGGTGCATCCTGGGAGCTGTTGCAACCGTCACCGTTGCATCCTCACGCAAGACGTCTTGTGACAGCCCGCTGCGGCGGCACAGCAGGCACACCGGCGCCGGTGCCTTGGGATGAAGTGTCTGGCATGGACAAAGCAGTTTTTCTGGCATGGACACCAGCAGGAACCAGTCTTATAAAGTGATAAGATATTAGCCTCTTCCCCCTCCTTTTGGCTGCCTCGAGCAATCAAGAGAGTTTTGAGGTTTATGGGAATTATTACTTGGTGTTTCTGGAG